CTTAAACGTTTATATTTTTTCAGCAAATCTGAGATTATTCAAAGATACCAATTCGCTCCAGACAGCGGATAAAATATTTTCGAATGGTTGTCCTTAAATGTGGAATTCTTGGTTCAGTAAATTCGATTAATGTATCGGGTTTTTCCTCACTACTACGTCAAAATAAATTAATGCTTTAATGATACGTCACTTTGTTACAGTTAAGGTCGGGGCCACCCTGGTCAAGCAGTATCGCCGGCCAAACGCTGTGCAAAGCTTGGAGGTAGCGGGTTCGAATTTTTGTGATGTCTTTCTCTAAATTGTTCTATCTGTCCTTCTACTTGCCAAAGATTTATTCGCCTAAATGGAGCAAGCAAACCTACAAATGTATATAATCTCAATAAAGCAATACAGTTCCCCCACCTGCCTCCAAAAATTAAAAATACCATCCGATTGAAAAACTGATGTAGAAAGTGGCATCAAAGAACCTCCGGTCAAGCTTACCTTAATGAAATAAAACAACTAAATAAAGAGATAAAAAATCTCAACAAAAAATACAAAAAGCAACTCTGGCAAAGCGAAGACATGTTAACTCGATTCTGTGTTGGGGTACCTTTTCACAGATGAAGGTTAACATTGTCGATAGCTCCTCTCCCCACCCAGAGCAATAAATGGACCATCTGGAACAGTGCACACAATGGAAGACAAAACTGAAATACTTTGCAGACTCTCTCCAAACCCAAATTCAGATCAAAACCATCATAATTTAGTAACAGAGGAAATAAACAATTTCCACCAATAGCATCCTATAACTGAAGCAATAGAACCAACTAATAATGAAGAAATCTGCAACATCATCAGTAATTTAAAAATTAAAAAAGCACCAGGTGAAGATGAATACAAAATAAAATGATAAAACAGGTACCTCACAACTATATGCATAAAATCATGCATATTATTAATAGCTGCCTTGCTCTGAATTATTATCCTCAAACCTGGAAAAACGTATCAGTCATACTATTACTAAAGAGAAAGAAAAATCCTAGCTGCCTTGAGAGTTACAAGCCAATTAGCCTTTTAAACATTCTGAGAAATATTTACGAAAAGATCATATATAATAGAATCAAGCCACTACTCACAGCCCTCCCCGACGAGCAGTTCGGATTCCATCAAACACTGGACAATACAAAGCCACTACTTCACATAATCAATTACACCGGCAGAGCTCTAATCAGTAAAGAAACAATAACATTTTTAATGATAGATATTTCAAAAGCATTCGACAGAGGCTGGTATACTGGTACAATATTCGAATTAATGCAACTTAACTTTCCCCCCGTTCTCATCAAACTACTTTCCTGTTATCTCTCAAATAGAACCTTTCAAGTATCAATTCAAAATTGCAAATCCTCAAAAAGAAACATCACAGCTGGAGTACCTCAGGGCAGCATTCTTGGACCGATTCGACTTATTTTATACACTAATGATTTTCCAATTAATAGAACATATTACAATAGCATGACAGCTTTTTATGCAGACGACACAGGAATGTTGTTGGTGTTGTTGCTTCACGTCGCACTAGAGCTGCACAATGGGCTATTGGCGACGGTCTGGGAAACATCCCGGAGGATGATCCGAAGACATGCCATCACAATTTTGATCCTCTGCGGTGGGGATGGCACCTCCGCTTCGGTAGCCCGACGACCTGCGCGCGAAGTCGAGCACTTTACGGTAGCACAGTTTAACGAGGAACAATACCGTACTCCTTCGGTCCCTACATAGACTGATCCAAGTGGTCACCCACCCGCACACTGACCGCAGCCAGTGATGCTTGACTTCGGTGATCTGCTGGGAACCGTTTCTTAACGATCAGTCCACTGCGGGACGACGCAGGAATCATCATTAAGTCATGAAATCCAAATATAGCATTAATAAAATTACAGGAACAAATACACGAAATAGTAGACTGTTGAATGGAAAATAGCAGTAAAAGCAGATAAATCTCAAATCCTAATTATACAAAAAAGAAGAATAAAAATATTAATACAGTACGAACCAAAAATGTTCAAAATAACCATAGTCAAAAAAGCAAACTACCTCGGCCTCATAATAAATAGCTAACTCACCTGGAATGACCTTTTCAAAAATATAATAGATAGAGCAAATACAGCAACAATAGTAATACAACCACTCATCTACAACCAGAATATGTCCTTTAAACTAAGAAAACTGCTCTATACATCGATGACCAGTCCAATTCTCACATATGTCTCACCTGCCCAGACGACCATACCGGAATACCTCATGCAAAAGCTCAACCAATGCCGAAACAAAATACAGTGGAACCTGTCTAAATTGACCACCCTCGGGACCAAGTCAAATGGTCACTATATAGAGGTGGTCAATTTATGAAGACTCTTTAAATGAAACTTGTGGAAAATGGTCACCTTACTCAGGTGCTCACTTTACCCAGGTGGTCACTTTTACAGGTTCCACTGTACTAAGAAAAATCACCTGTGGCAGATGGTTCATCAGAAATGCAAATATTCACAAAGAATTCAAGATTCCGATTCTATCACAATATATTCATAAAATAAATGCAGATTTCCTCGACAAGTCCCAAAAATGTAATGCAGCTAACTTTAACCAGATATTTAACTTTGAAAACTACAAAAAGGATGTAAATACAGACCAATAGCCGCTCACTTTACATCTGAAGTCTCATATTACAATCATCAAAATAAATAAGAGCTTTAACAAATTTCTTATCACAGATCCACCTGAAACATCAGCTTCAACACCAACAATATTGAAAGTTCTATCAAGCGTTTCCCCACTTTGACCATCAACCAGCATCCAAAACTCATGTCACATATAGTTTAGAACAAGCTGCTCCGTTTCATTATTATTATTTATTCAAGAAAAGTGTTAGAAGCCCCCTGACAACAACCACATTGAATGCTAACCTCAACGAAACCTAACAGAATGACATACGCGATGAATGGGATAGGGGACACTTCTCGGTCCAGGAGCCCACATCCAAAAGCAAGACTGTTCTCCTGCGTTGATCCTTTTAACCTTTTCCATTCCACTGAGGCCCCATTAGCAGTTACCACTTTAAAATTAAGAAATTTTATACCTTAATAAATAGTAACCACATCCAGCATTATTTTAAGAATTTTGAAATTATTTAATAATACTTTGTATTTGAAATGCTTATAGATGAAACAGCTTTTGAAAGTACTCGGAGTGCAAAGGGTTATCACTGCCTCTCAAGAGCAGCTGATCATGCACTACTTAGAATTGAAAAGTGATAATCGATCTAAACTCTTCTTTGTTAAGTTTTCGTTTTTAAAATTTGCAACAACTTTTTTTCAATAAATAATGTGTCGGGACAAAAGATCATATTTTCTGCAAAAATAGTTGGAAGATAATATACACTTGATTTGTTTAATCGACACAAACTATTAGGGAGAATTTGGTCACGCCTTAGAATGAGATCGGCAGCAAAAATGTTAAAAAATTTGCAAAATTAAACCGAAAATCTGCAATTTTAATTCGTAGCTTTCTACCGTTTTATAAAATGTTTTGTCGAATCCGGATCATGCAATTCGTTTAAGGCTTATTTCAAACGTAATTTTTGACTTAAGTTTCTAAAGAACCATTTCTAAATAAATGCCTTGAAACATTGAATAAATGTATGGCAACATCTAATATTTTAAGGATATATGTTGAGGAATTTTATTCTTTCCGAGGATGTATTTCCCAAGTGATAAAGTTTAATTAAAATGCAACTGCACAGCTGCCAATTCTTCCGGTTTTCAGGAAAATTTTATTCTTGTAAAAATCTCATGTTATTCTATTAAACTTTTTGAATTATAATAATAATTATAAATGAATTACAAAAAAGCATAATAGTTTGCACGATAGCGAATTTCAACCTTGCCAAAATACAAATGCACTTTATAAATAAATTGTTTTCGGTAATTATTTTATTACCACTAGAAAAGAGTGAAAGTAAGTATGCAACTGTATATGAAAGTTTCTCTTTACAATTGCTACGGCCTGAGCTAATTTTCGTTTCTATTACTTTGTCTTCTTTATAAGAATGATTTATTGGCGTTTAGTGGTAGTCAAAATCATATAACTATAAATTTATAATTAAAGAGAGATTTATACGGATCAATACCACTTTAAATATAAAAATGAATTAGTACGGACAATCATTAGATGTTGGCAGCCAGCTAAGTATAACCATAATGTTGCTCATCACAAAATGTTTTTTATACAATGTTTTATTCAATTTTCATGATGTATGGGATATGAGCCGCTGCTTGGCCCAGGTGACCTGTTTTTGGATAATAAAAGCAAAAAAGCAGCTAAGTATAGTAACATTAAAACTAAAAAAACTGCTTTACACGTAGATGATTAGACCAATTCTCACATATGCCTCACCTGCCTGGACAACCATACCAGAATTCCTCATGAAAAAGCTCAACCAACCAGCCACCACACTGCCTGCTAACCACAAGGAACTCACACAATGCTAAATAATTCAGGATGAATGGGATGCCCAGCTAGTATAACAAATGGAATAAAATGGCAGCTAAGCATATGCATAACCAATAGTGATAGCAGGAAGAAAGAAACTACCAGCTTACGTTCTTCAAAATAAATTTTTTAGCTAGTAATGAAATAACTAAGGAAGCGATGTTATGCTTCATTCGCTTTCATTTTAAGGACTACAAGTATCAGTTCTTCATTTTGTATGTTTAAGCTAAGCGAATGTCAGGGGTGAAAGCGAGACGGAAAGGAGGAAAGGCTGGTAGTAAAACCATTTCAGTTATAGCTAGTTTTGGGGAGGAGTTTACTTATTCTTTTTTCATATTTTTCAACAATATCAACTTTATCTTGGAAAAGAAGCAGTTTTATATATATGCCAGAATTATAAAAGAAATCTTGATAATAACAGATATTTCATTTTTCGCGAAAAAAATGCTGGAATGAAATGTTCTACGTACCAGGTTTTTCTCTTTTCCGTCTTGCTATATAAAAGCTTTCACTCATGGCTAATGTAAAGAAAAGTATTTTAATTCAAAGTAAGTAAAACAGGAATAAAGCCAGAATAAAAAACCACATTAAATTTAAAAATAAAGTATTCTGCAAAATTAGTAGTATGAAACCATCCTCCCAATTAAGCCCTTTAAAGAGTGGGGACCCATAAAGCAGAGATGTCATGGCCGACTAACAATGTAAAAAGTGGTAAAAATTCAGATATTTTTCTATTTATTCAATCTACTCAACCATTCTATCGTAACTACCACCATTACTTACATTGCAAAATATTCATATTTAAAACAAAAGCATTCCTAATACCAACCGTTCTGAAAATAACGTTTCCTCATGCTGATACAATTCTGAACAACTCCAAAATCAAACAAACACAGTTTAGAGCAAGCTACTCATTTTATTTTTTGATTCCTTTTAGTTATTCAAGCAAAGTGCTTGAAACATTCTTAAAAGCAACTCCACTGCCTGCTTACCTCAACCATCACCTCCTACATCAAGAAGCCTCCACACGCATACCTGCCAACTTTTACGCATTTGGCGTAAAATTTTATTTTTATATTTAAAGTGGTAGAAAATCTATACTATTTTTCTCTTTTAAAAACTTAATTTTTACATGATTTTAATCACCACTATTCTTAAGAAAATTAATCATATATATTAATATGTGTTACTATAATGATTGTCGAGTCTTCGAACACAAAACCCTAAGACGAATCACTGGGGCTCCCTGGTTTGTCAGAAATAACACCCTCTATAATGACCTCAAAATCGACAAAATAGACGAGTACCTTTTTAAACTCAATGCATCCTTTTTTAAAGGTGCCAAAAATTGTTCAACATGTAAATTCAATAAGTTATTAGACATTGATTTCATAGATGACAATAAAAATTTCAGCCCGATAACCGCTTTTTTCTTAAGCGACTGTGTTCTCTCTAAGCATTTCGGATAATCATGACTATCCCCACTGCCCTAGACAAACTGTGTTCTCTGCACCAATGAAGCCCGGCTATACCGGTGGGAGGCGAGAGAGTGCACAGGGAGTCTTCCCCCTTTTGTAAATTTGTAAATAGTGTAAATATTCTTTCTTTATCTTTATCTTCAATTTGTTCCCTTTATTATGTATCAACTTGCGACTTATTTTTATGTATGACTCAGACTTGATTTTATCAATTATTGTTCATTCTGAGATTTAACTTAATGTTAACGCAGCACCTCCCTTCCCTTCCACCACATATTATCCAATTTAGATGAAAGAGCAGATATCCATACATGGATAGGTACTCTGAAAAAAGTTGATTAGTTAGTAGTTAGTTAATTTTGCTTTCAGGACGAGCAGTTACTACCAGGACAACCGGTCACTATTCTAACAGAGGAATACGAAATATATATAGAATTTGTAAGTAATTTTTATTACTTTTATTATTATTATCGTCATTTAGTGTATATTATTCTCAATTTATTCTGATGATTATTAGTAGCTATTTTACTAAACTTATCCACTAAATATTGNAATAAATACAAGAAAACACGAAGAAAGTTAAGAAAAACAATAAGTTTCATTTATTGCGCATAATCTACAAGTAAACAGAACTCATTAGATAAGTTCAAAATGAAGATAAAACAAATGAATATTATAGACATATGAAAAAGGGGGGGATAATAATGAAAAAAAAAAAGAATTTTTTTTAAAAAAACCGGAAAATAAACGATATAATCTTTTCATCAATATCTTTTATTTTCTGGTTTTTTAAAAAATATTTCATCATTTTTTTTTTTAAATCAGTTTTTTTCCATTATTATTTCCCCCCCTTTTTTTTTCTCATATGACTGTAATTTTCCTTTGTTTTATCTTCATTTTGAACTTATATATATCGGTTGGACAAATATAGAGATACACTTCGATATTGACTCTAAGTAAATGATATTTCTTTTAGCTGAAAAATTTTGGAAGATGGCAAAACTGCTGGCTCAATTTGAAAGTTTATGATTGAAGCCTTTAGGATAGGAGTCATTTTTACCCATTCAAAATTCGTATTGACCAAAATGCGCAGAGGTAGTTATCAACTTCTTTCTAATTTAGATACCAGCAATTTTGAATCCATTTTAAAGTATTGCATTATTTATATTAGAATGCTTTTTCAGTTATACTGGTGTTGAATAAGCTTTTAAGTCGCTCATTTTGTTTGATGCATATTTTGCTTGAGTATAATAGGCCTAATTTCTAAAAGCTTTAAGAATGACCTTTCAAATACAGTATTGACATCCAAGATTTCCAAAAATATTTGTTATTAAAAGAAAGATTGCTTACATAGAGTTAATTTAGAAATATTTTCGCATTTTTGCCCGACCCCTGGTGAACATTTACAAGATAATGAAGGCATATATTTAACTATTAATAAGCAGAGGTCACGGGTAGCTCACTCATACTTAAAATAAAAATTAGTTATTTTTAGATTTAGTACTTTCTATTTTGCGAAATTTGATAGTCTTATATACTTAATTCTAAATTAAAATTCAGAAAAATCAAGAAATCAATCGAAATCTTAAAAAAAGATTATTAAAACAGTTTTTGAAAAACACCAATTAAAAAAATAATATTTTTTTTGTTAAAAAATTATAACAAAATAAATAAGTGCATAAATATATTTATAAAATTTTATAAATAATAATACAGGGCTGATTGTACAGATTTCCTTTTTTGTTTGTTTTAACGCGTTCACGCCGAGAAACGTGAAAATACTGGTAGAAGAACTGTTTCAATATTAGATAATATTCGGGAGGAGTTAATCTATTCTCAACAATGACAGTTCACTGTAAGGAAATTTATCAAGGCGAAGATGCAATTCAATATAAAAATTGCATCCGTTAAAAACAATTGGTAGTTATGGATTTTTACTATTCCCGGAGAAAAACTAAAAAATAAAATTTATTTGTTACCAGTTTTTACTCCGGTGCGCCGCCAAAATGAGAAAATCTAGCGTGACCGTGTTAACCCCTTGGGGACGGCTGATTCAGAAAAGCATTCGTACAAAATCAGAATCAAGACGTAATTAAATAAAAAACGGTAACTTAAATGTAGTCGTTTCTAATTTGACAGACATACTTTGCTTTTACTTTAATTATTGTTAGTTTAATCATATATATAATCAATGTTAATTCAAAGTATAACNAGTAAGTGAGGGGTTAATGAGTTGTGACCACCAGGGGTTACCTTAACAACATAGATAAGAAAGCTAAGAATAGAAATTCATTCTCACCTCAAAATTGCAAGCAATGCATCAAAGGATAGTTACCAGTTTTAAAGTGAACTATAGAAAACAGTTTGTATGCAAACTTGTAGATGCTATCAGAATTACTGTTTTGCCTGGAGAAATGTGTTTTTAAAAGCAATCCAAATTGGTTTTAAAAAGCTGGTTTTAGGAATAGCTGTGACGATGATGAATAAGAGATTGAAGGCATCAGTAAAGAAGAAGAAACTGTTGATGCTGAAAATGCAGTGCAGATTTGCTAGAATGGAATGCAATAAAATCTGGATTAATTGTTGACATTAATTTTGAAGATTTTTACAAGTAGACAAATGTCAGGCAGAAGATAGACAGATGAGGAAATCGTAGATAATGTCAAAGGAATATCAGATGAAGAAGCTGAAGATCATATTGATGAACCAAAAAAGAATGCAAAAGAGGTGAAAAAAAAGCTGTAGAATTCTTATAAACTATTCTTGAATCCCAGTAAAATCTTGGCTATCAGGGATTTTTGCTCTTTCTAACCTTAAAAGAATAATCAAAACAAATAAGGTTACACGTCAAAAAATTATTTTCAGTGTTAAATGTATGTTAAAAAATGTTATGTAAATGGATGTATGTGGCATGATTAATTTAAAGAAATACCTATATTTTTATACCGAAGACAATTAACGCACTTTAAATAGAGTAGTAAGTCCCTGTATAACTGAAAGCCTCTTTATCTCAAATATTTCGCCTTTCCTGTGAGATTCGAGATAAACTGTGTGTGTATGTAATATATATATATATATATATATATTTATATATATGTATAAACTAGAAAAATCATTAAATAAACATAAACTATTCGTTCATAAAGAGTAGTAATAGTAAATAAATTGAGCAACATTCGTAGCAACCGTTTACTTACTTTATGCAAAATTGAGATTTGATCGAAAAATTTAGTTTAATTTATAAATTTTATGGAGTTAATTTATTTAATTAATTCCATTGCAATTATCACATGTATAAGTAATTGATCAGATAGTATCTTAAAATTCGTATATAAAACGGTTCATTGTTTGAATAGTATATGTCAATAATTGGTTTGCTAATTAATGCTGATACGATGTAAAAAAGTTAATAAATGAATCATCCATTGAAAATGAGTATCATTTTAAATAAATTCTGTAACTCGTTTGCTTACTCGATATATAGTTGAAATTTGAACGCAACAGTAAAATCTAACTCCATTATTGTCATATGTTGTGACAGCAACTAATTGAAAATAAATTTAGAATGACATCTTAAAAATGGTTACCGTGTTAATTGCTTAAAGAATAATTGATAAGTTAATAAAGCAGAATTTCAATACCCATGCTATTCATAAGAGTTATTAAATAAACTATTCATTGTTAATGAGAAGCAATTTTAAATCAATTCTGTAACTCTTTTACTTACTCGATACAAAGTTGAAATTCAAGCAAAACAATAAAATCTAACTCCCTAATTATCATGACAATGATTGTAACTCATTTTAAATGAACTTAAAATGACATCTTAAAAATTTGGCAATGAAACGGTTAATTGCCTAAAGGTTATAAGTAAATAATTGATTAGCTACTAAAAGATAATTTCAAAACGCGTTATTAAATAAGCCATTCGTTGATAATGAGTAGCAATAATAAAACAATTATATTAATTATTTACTTACCCAATATATATAATTTCTTTTAATGATATACCTAAAGCCTTTAAATGAGTTCTATTTCGTTTTCATCTGCTTAACAACGCTCAATACAATACAAACGTTTACTTAGTCGAAGTATAGAGGTCCCGTATTTGTTTGACTTGCAGCATCAGGGCACAGCTTGCATCTATTAGGGAAACAAATCTAATGTTTCTTTACTCGTGCCATTTTCAAATTCTTTTTTTTCTCTCTATTTTTTTTATCTTTTATTGCAAACAGCATTTTTTTCTCATTTTCCTTTACTCATGAAGTCTAGCTTGCAGTGGGTGTGTTCCGCAGTTGATTGCGTACGATGGCGTGTAGCGAAAATGCTCTTAGTAAATATCGTTAGAGATGGTGGTCGTTACAACATTTTTATCACGTGCAATTTATTCTTAATATATTTTAGTGTAATTAATGAATACGTTGTTATGAATGTGTGCACATTGAATTATGAAACGCTTTTTAATGATGTATAACGTAACTTTATGAAGACAATGCGATTGAAATCAGGAATCGAACGCACCCGAAAAAAATTAAAAAGTTTTATTAATATTTACGGATTTTTTTCAAACGTTATTATCTTCGTAGCTATCAGAATATTTTATTTACTCTAAATAAATATATTTTAACTCGAAAGACATTCTAGGTAAAAAAAACACTAGTCCTTGACCATTTTGTCTCTCGTCTTTTGAAAGTTACGATTTTTTTTTTGAAGTAAAATGTAGAGATGCAAGTGATTCTTTTAAACATTTATTTTGCAAAAGCAGAATATTAGGTTGTTCATAATTTTTTTAATTTTTTTTTAATGAAAATGAAAGGAGTTTTATTAAAAAGGAATAAATATTTTATTGAATCATATCTTGTCCATTCTTGCTCAATATCTCTTGCATATCAGTTGCATGAGTTTTTAGTTTCAGCTTTCACATCAGTTTTTTGACATTTCAGTTGTCACATCAGTTGATCAGTACTCAAGTTATGGCTTTAATCAGCATCGTAAGANTATTTCATTAGGCTGAGAATTTAATATAAGTTACACAATTTCAAATTTTTTAGTTTTTTATTAATGTGTTTTTAAGTTTCACCGTTTAATAAGTTTTCCCGTTTAATAAGTCGTTTCTTTCCACTCCCTTGAAAAACTTCTTAAACGGGTTCTACTGTATATATATATATATATATATATATATATATATATATAAGCAAGAAATATTACTTAAATACTTTCTGGTATTTTCTGGATGCCCTTAATTATATCTAACATTTATGAATATTTTACGAATCACTTCTATAAAAAGAAAAAAAAATCACTATATTTCAGTTGAGTTGACAGTTGAGCACTTATTGTTTATCTTTTAATTATAAATGTTCTCGATATCCCTGGAAATTTGTTAGAAGGTTCATACAAATTAGAACAGAGAAAAAAAGTGATCGTTTGGAAGGTGTATTTATGTCGTCTGATTTTAGAGAGGTGGCAGACGAATTTTCTCACGAACAGCTGCAAAACATAAGGATAGATGTGACGTCATCTCACGAACGGTGATCGATGATGTATTGTGGCCGAACCTGAACGGATACGTTTTTAATTAGAGTTGGGGGATCCCTTTTGGAGAATCATTTAATTTTTGTTAGTTTGTTTTATCAGCTGAGTAATTGGGAAATTAACTGACATTTAAGAAGTTTGATAACAGATGCCTGATTGTTTGAAAGAAATCCTTGAGCTGAATAATAATAATAGAGTTACGACACTGGAATTTAAATTAAACAAGGTGGAAGACATAGAAAAAAATTTAAATTATTACGGGCCAATTTCCAACCTAAAAAATGTAAGTGTTTTATTTTTTAATTTTTCAGAAATACACTAACTGTTACAATTCATATTGGAATACATAACGAAAAGGGGTAACCGTTTCTAAATTTTAGAGTAGCTGTTAAAAAAAAATTGTATAATTTATTATTGAGCGCAGAATAGTTTAAAAATGAAGATTTTTTGAGATAGTTTCCGAAATGAGTAGAAAATATTTAATTAAAAGCTCTGAATCGCATATTTTCTTTCGTTTCTTAAATGTTCATGACAAAGTGTCAAAGTCAGAAAATGCTAATAATGTCAAGCATTTATTCAAAAAGAGTTATTCAACGTCCTCTAAAACAAAAATAATAAATGAATAAAATAAAAAATAAATAAAATAAAAGTTAAAAAAATAAAGTGAAAAAACAAAACAAATAAAATGAAAAATAAATAAATAAATAAAAGAAGAGGTTATAATTTTGTCCACAGATATGGTTGTAATGTGTTTGTAAAATGGCTGTAAAGTATGGGTAAAGTTTATTTATCAATCATACAAACATGGGAGGGGGTCATATTCTTAAATGCAGATCCGAAAAACTTACTATGATAACCGTTTAGCGCCCCCCCCCACCACATGACATTTCAAAAAAATGCGAAAAGTAATGCGAATATAAAATTGGTAGCAATATTTGTATTAAATTAAGTGAATATTTTACTTATTAAAAATCCACTTTGATTTAAAAGTCTATCAATCAAACATTTTCACAACTAAGTATATAATTTAGAATAAGTAAAATTTGTTTGTTGATACGCATTTTTTACTTATCCAGGATAAATGTTAACAATGAAATTACTGAAATACCTATCTTTGTCTTTTAGAAAATAAAAAGAAAAAAAGACATTTTCCAAAATTGGGGTATTAACATATTTGAATGGTTAAAATAGTAACGAAATAAAGAGCAATCCAAATTTAATTTTCACTTCAAACTTTGATGCAATATTGCTTACTGTAAGTAATGTAAGTTTTTTTTATTTTTAGATGGTTTTTGTATTTATTTCTTTTTTAATCAGAGAAATTTTTTATTTAACTAGCTTTCTTAGCAGGATGACTTAAAATGCANGTATGGGTAAAGTTTATTTAAGGGGGTCATATTCTTAAATGCAGATCCGAAAAACTTACTATGATAACCGTTTAGCACCCCCCCCCACCTCATGACATTAAATTAAGTCAATATTTTACTTATTAAAAATCCACTTTGAATTAAAAGTCTATCAATCAAACATTTTCACAACTAAGTATATAATTTAGAAAAAGTAAAACATGTTTGTTGATACGCATTTTTTACTTATCCAGGATAAATGCTAACAATTAAATTACTGAAATACGTATCTTTGTCTTTTAGAAAAAAAAAAGGAAAAAAGAAATTTTCCAAAATTGGGGTATTAACATATTTGAATGGTTAAAATAGTAACGAAATAAAGAGCAATCCAAATTTAATTTTCACTTCAAACTTTGATGCAATATTGCTTACTGTAAGTAATGTAAGTTTTTTTTATTTTTAGATGGTTTTTGTATTTATTTCTTTTTTAATCAGAGAAATTTTTTATTTAACTAGCTTTCTTAGCAGGATGACTTAAAATGCAAATAATTCCTCTTATTATAATTAGATATGTAATATTAAATTCATTAGCAGGTAAGATTATACTGATCAAAAAAGATAAGTAATTGTTTTGAAAATATTTTATGTGAAGAACGAAAGAAAGATTTGGTCATTTAATAAACAATAGTCTTAAAATTGGGTTCAGGCAATAGAAGCTTAAAACTTGCGGTTTTTGAGTTTCTGTTTTAAATACATACAATATACATGCTTATTTTGCTATTTGTATTTTAATAAACAATTTTCTTAATTTTAATATTTATTCTTAGAAGTATATTTTTCCCGCCGGATAGTAAAATTTAAATTTTCTTCAAACTGATCATCGCTTTATAGATCATCCACAGACTGATTCAAATAAATCTTGCTTTTGCAAAATGTAATGTAGAACAATATTTTTATTAGTACCAAAGAAGGTAAGTAAATTCTTTTTTATTGTTTAAATGAAAGATACTAAATTACAATGAAGAGCACATGAGTTAATTTGAATAACATATGCCTTTGTACTCATGTATCCTGTATTTTAAAGATATCTCCAGATTATATTTTGAAGATTTTCTTCAGATTCTATTCTGAAGATTTTCTTCAGATTCTATTCTTAAGAATATCTTAAGTTATTTGGCCCACGTGAACCTAAATCTTAAGAAAATCTTAAGTTTATATTTTGAAGATTTTCTTCAGATTATTTTCTTAAGATCTTCTTCAGAAAATATTCTTAAGAAAATCTTAAGAATGAGTGGGCCAAATAACTTAATATATTCTTAAGAATTTTTTTTAGGAAATTCTTAAGATTCCTTTTAGTGGGGAAGATGTCCCTTTTATATGCAGTGATTGTCAAAACCATTGCAAATTAAATTTATTAAAGTAAAACAATAAAAATCATGTAAAGCACAACATTTATAACTATTTCAAATGTTTAAATAATTTCTATTACTTCTATAATTTCTATTAAATATTTATAAATAAGTATTTATTAATCATTGCATTATGACGGGCTTGAACGTCTTAATTTTGCAAAATAATTGATAAAAGCGAAATAATTAAGCTAAAACTCTATATATTTAAAAAAAAAAAGGATATGTTCTTTTAATTTAAGTATTTTTCACAGGTATTCACTACTACTTTTAACAATATAACTTAGAATTACTGAGCTGAAACTTTCCCGGCAGAAAAAAGAAGAAAGAAAATGGACTGGCAGCAGAACTCCAAGCTAGTTTGGTGTTAGAGAAAAATTTATCATGGCACGTTTTAATAAATAGACTTGGGTTTTTAAAAATTCGAAAATAAATTATTTCGCTCACTGTCACAAATTAATAATTCTATCTTATGTTAATAGAATATATTCGCTTAGCAGTATTGCTTTTAAGTGTTGGCAAAGTGACTAATACGTTGCAAAGTTTTTCGCATTTTAAATACGTTAAGTATTTGTAATTTAAATACTTAAAATAGCTTTCCCAACGATCTTACAACTTGACAGTTATGAGGCAATAAAAGCATTTCATTTCCAGTTTGCTTAAGGAACAGCAAAATATTCGTGACTACCACGAATTAGTATCTGTTACAACATACATTAAAAAGAAAGCATTCCAGCAGCAGTTCATTGTTAGCCTGGGGGTGGAATCTCCACAATTGTGAGACCAATGGCATGTTTGAGGCAATGAAATCAGCATTACCTACAGGCGACCTTCACTTTTCAGACAAGCTGGTACTTATCAATCCGAAGATAGGTGGGCTTCAAGTCGCTGGTGGGAATTGAACCCAATTTTACACAATGTCAATTCAGTACCTTAAGCACTCAGCTATCATGGCTCGATAACATACCTGCAGACATATCACT